ACTGTTAGGCGTGTCTTGGAAAAGTCCTGAGTTTACTCACAGGAGGAACATGAGTAAGGCACCGTTTCCAACAGAAACCCTCGTAAAAACCGAATTGGCTTCTCTAGAAGATGTTGCCGAACCGTGGAGTAAGGTTAGTTTTTACCAGAATGTGATTCTGTCCTCACAAGAGCGATCTTTTGCACTGGTCAGCAAGTAGCCCCGACTTAAGCCCAATCAGGGAGTGGAGGCCTTTATGGTGCGTGTGATCTATGCGAACAATGCACCATTCCACAATTTCTCTGAGCTTAGGGAAATAATCATTGATGCATGGCACCATGTCGGCCGAGACCCTACTGAAAATCTCTAATCGATCATGGGCAACCGTATTTTCCAACTTATTCGGAGGAATGGAGTCCCAATAGATCACCGAATCGAAAAATTCATCTTGTTGTACACTTGTGGGATTATTCGATTTACCAGCCGGCTTCGCCGGCGCGCCTTTTTCTGAGATACAGCACGGCCGGGCGGGCGCGGCCCCACCGCGCTAATCTTTTTCCACACATGTCAGTACCCGCCGTATTCGGCTTTTCTTTCATGTGAACGGATGATCAACATTATTTCAACAGTAGCACCATACCTGCCGTTTTCAACACTATTACGGTGCATGAAATAGTGGAAAGCAGCGTTAATCAAGTGGACAGATAAGAGGAAAGCCGGGTATTAGTCGGGCATTTGATCATACGAATGCAGGCAAGCGCGATGGACCACGCCGCGCAAGGCCGGGCCGTATCACAAAGGCGGCCTGGAGTGCCTGAAGTGATCTGGAACCGCTTGAGGAATTTCTAACACAGAGCCCGCTCTCCTCAACGCACGCTCCGCCCACAACGTATGCCTCGCGCTTCACTGATAACCCCTCGCTGACTTCTAAGTACTTTTTCCCGATGCCCGGAGTGCTCTAGAACCGTTTTGCGAATTTTTTAAATTGGCTCCACCCACCTCGGAGCACGCTCCGCCCACAATGTATGCCTCGCGTTTCTCAAATAATAACCCATCGCTGATCTTAAACTACTTTTTCCCGTCTGGAGTGCTTTGGAACCATTTGCGAATGCTTTCCGAATTTGGCTCCGCCCACCTCTGGCACGCCCCGCCCACAGCGTATGCCTCGCACATTCTTGTACTTGATCACTCGGGGACCATAAGCCACCTTCTTGGCACCATCTGCAATGATTTAGGACCAAACAATTTTTTATACTGTTCCTCGTGCTCAAATGCACGCCCGCCCACTGTGGACGGCCTCAGCAACCGCAATCATATTGGACTCCTGCGAGATATTCTTCTTCGTCATGGACTTTTCTGCGCTCCCTAAACATTTTCGGGGACCGAGTAACCGACTTTTGTGGGAAGCGCCGCCCATCTCAAGTACGCCCGGCCATTTCGGGTGTCTCTCCTCCATTTGTGTGTGCCACCCAGTGCTAACCTAATTCCTTTTCCCAGTCAAGGTGATTTTTCAGTGTCACGGGAAGCGCCGCCCATCTCAAGTACGCCCCGTCTATTTCGGGTATGTCTCCTCTTTTTGGTCAGTCAGGCCTTTGTAACCTTACTGCAATGTTTCCTCATCTCGGACTGCTCGGAACCGAGTTATTACTTTTTTCAGTGACATCGCTAACTTTTGACGCACGCTCCGTCCACTGTGGCGGGGCTTACCATGGGTCATGGGTGCTATTTAGGTTTTGCCCCATGCTCTACCCATCCCACCATGACCCGACCTCTCCAAGTCTTCTTCAGGTGCTATGAATTTCGTGAGAGCAGACAGACGCAGACACACACACGGACATGGCCGAATAATTAGCAGGATTCATCGGAACTCTCATTTCGCTCCATTGTCGAAGCGACCATTTTTCAAAACTGAAGAAAAAAAATGTTGTTCTTTCAAGCTAGTGTTTAGTGATGGCGTGCGAATTGGCACTGGTAATTGCTACATTTTCTACTTGAGAACATTTTTGAAAACATCGTGCAAGGCGGGATTACGTGAGGCTTATGAGTGGAACTGAAATTAGAGAGACGTGCAGCAGAATCGTCCCAGGCAGCCCCGCCGGAACGCCGAACGCGCGCTCGCGCGTTGATTTACTCAGCGGCTCACTTACGTGCATTTGCTAGCCGATAGCTTTGCGACTGGAGTAAATGGTTTACTACAGCTAAATCCGCCACATTTAGCAGGTTTCATGAATGACTGGAAATCTAACGATGTTTTTCTTGATAGTAACACACAATTGTTCAGCAGTTTCATGAACGCTTCACGAAATAATCAGACAAGAAAAATCGGATAAGACCGTGATTCTCATTATGTTTATGTGGTTTACATGACTTGCGCAGTCGCCAGCGGCAATATAATGACGGATAGCCAAGTTTTTCTGTGAGCTGCTTCAAAAGTTGACAAACCAGAGGAAATTTCAAAGACTCCAATGAATTTCGTGCTCTATTGAATTTTTTCATACTCTGACTGAAAACTTAACCGTACTGAACACAAAACAGGATCCTGGGTGATATCAATATTTTCCCTCCCTTCAATAACCCTATTCAAACCCCCAGAAGCACGCTTCGTCTTTTCGCCGAAAATATGTCGCAGGCCACGCATACCAGCTACACCAGACGATTCTGTTGCTACACTCCCCTGAAATTATGCTTAGCTGTGTATGAAACCTTCAGGACATCTCAAATGCAGTATCTCGGAAAACTGGTACTCCAAGGTAGTTGACTCGACACCACGTTTTGGTGTCAGATCAGATAGGTCATGACCCATGTTTGATTGACGCCTTATCCCGATGTGGGCTAACTTGAGACAATTGGTTTGATGCGAACGTGCCGGACTGTGTCAACTAGCTTGGACTGCTGGTTTGGACACACTTCGGGTTTTCTGAACAACACCATTGCTATTCAAATAATGGTAACTGACCGAGTCCTTGAAAATAGTGTTCTGGTACATTTGCCGGACTGTAGCGGTTGCAGTCTTTGCCGCGTTCTCAATGGAGTGCTGACAAGCCTGCAAATACAAATTGAATTCACGAGAGCTTTCCGCTGTAAAAATTTCATGGGGCCTGGAACTGAAAAGTGGGTTATCAGATCTGACTAGACTAATGAAAGTTCATCAGGGCACAGTTTTGGGCAAGCCAGTATATCTTCCTCCGTTATCTGCTCTCACGCAGCACAACCATCCCATGGCAATCGTGCTGTGCTCTCACCAAGCACGACCTGTCTTCAAAAAGCGGTTTGAAGCAGCTCAGTTCCATTTGGTGATGATAGGTGAACCGTCTTTGAACTCGCCTGCATAGGGAATACGAGCACAGACCGGAATTTAATATCCCTCCCTAAGCTTCCCAATTCTACTGAAGTGAAAAGCGAATATGCAACCTGATATTTTGATGTCTGATATTGAAAATGGGACAAAAAGAAATAAGGATGCCGGACGTCGACTGCATTTCCTGGGCTATGAACCAACTTCAGATACTCTCTGATTTCAAACATGACTCGAAAATCAAGCATATTTTCTGGCGGTGAACTGATGGAGGTTCGCGCTCTGATTTGTAATCCGGACCAGCTTTTTGGTACTTGAGACAGGAGTTCTGCATCAATGTTTGATCCAAGCCGTTCTCCGGAGCAGGTAGGAATCACTGGTTCTCTACGAGCGCCTTCAAAAGAGACAAACAAGAAATTCTCACCGAGTGCAAGGGTTTGCTGAAGAACACCACTGTTTGGAGGGCTGAAAAAACCATTGCCAAAAATGTTAGAATTATGAGGAGCGCTAATATTTTCATCGTCCATTTGGTCGCCATTCTCCAGGATGATGCAATTCTGAAAAAAAAATTTGCATAGATTCCGGTCATGCACTCGGTTCGCAAGTCTAATGTTGTCATTTCGCGTTTAGATTTGAACTTTTTTCACTATACCCTGCTATTGTGCTGCTAGCTTTTGCAGATAATTGCTCATACAATAGCGGGAAGCAGTCAATTATTATTCACCAGTCGGCTGGCTGGCTAACGCCGGCGCGCCTCCTTCTGATACGGCCGGGCTGCGCCGGGCGAGCGCGGCTTTGCCGCGCGTATTTTCTTTCTCATATTTCTAGACTCAACTGTACCCAATGCAATAAAAACGACTTTCCACCCAGGAGCCATATGGACTGCACAGTTATCCTGGTTCAAATACTCTTTCCGAGCCCCTTGATCGATGAAAAGTATTGACACCTTTCGAAACAAGTAGCTGGATGCTGCTTCTCACCGCTTATATAGCCGAAATAATGCTATCTTAGACAGCTGTCAGAATTCACGATGGCGCACGTCGACGCACTACGACGCACTGTAACGCACCATTGGCTGGTAAATGGACAGGCCCCTACCGCGCCGTAGACACGCCGCTATTGTTTTGAGGGAGCCTAGGATAATGGGAAGGTGTCAGACTATGTGATTAGACGTACATTCACAATCTTTTGAACTCTCTCACATAGCGGCTGGAGCTCATGCTTCGTAGTGCTGCGTTCGCGTTTGTACCACTGCAGCACTATTAATGGTAGAAGGCAGTAGCGCGAAGTATCTCCCTGACACGAAATCTGAATGCTGCTTTTTTACGCATTTGCTTGGATTGCATCATCAAGCACTTCCCTTGCATAAGAGAACGATCATCGCTTTCCTAATTTGCGTGAAATGAAAAGAATTGAATTGGGGTAGGTCGTCAAGAATCAGAAACCGTCACGTTTTTCATGCTTTTTGTTGAATCCGGAGGTAGTAGGCAGAATCGGCAGTAGAAGAATATTTATTAGACGAATAAACTCAACGAAACAGTGGGGTTTATATACCCCCATGAGATCAACATTTGGGCGCTAAATACCAGTTCACTTGCCCCTCAGGCACGACTGTCAGACCACCCACCGTACTACTGGGCCGCAGTGACCACCATCGCCTTGACCTACCCAACACCTCCCCCTCAAGATGGACACTAGGTGTACGTCTTCTTCCTCGGGTCGATCATCAATCGTTGCGGTGCACGGCGTACTCTCGCTCTGTCTTCTCTTGAGGCATCACTGTCGTGCACGGTGAGTTGTCGATTGCTAGTGTGGGCTGCAGGGCAGTTGTGGTTGCACTGGTCGTCGATGGCGTGGGCGTAGAGCAAGGAAGCAACGGCAGTTCAGCGAGTTCGGTGTCTGGCTCTGTAATAGATCGAAATTTGATGATACGTGGACGCAACTGGTTAGCGTGCCGTTTCCATATTTGTCCGTCCACTGATACATCATAGAGCCTCTTGCCATGTCTTTGTTGAACGTGACCAGGCATCCGTCTTGGAGTCCCTGAACGATAATCCATTGTCCAGATTAAATCACCCACGTTGAACTCCTTCTGTCGCTCCATGGTGGCGATTGTATTGGTCTTCCATCTTCTCGTTTCGAATTGCTTCGTTTCGATTGGCGGAAGGCTTCAGAAGACTGAGTTTTGTGCGGATCTCTCTTCCGAGGAACGCTCCAGCTGGTGATTGCCCTCCTGGCGTCGAAGAGCAGGGGGTTCGGCGGTAGTTCAGCAGAAAATTTTGTAGTGCTTCATTCGGCGACGACGTTTCCTTCATCTTCTCAAAACTTCTTTTGAAGGTATCGACGAAGCGTTCT